CTCGGTTCCCGCTTTCCCTCCTTAACTCCTTGAGTAGCTATCTTCGCGAACTGCTTGGCGACGAAGTGATCGATATGTCCACGATCAATGGTCTGATGCACTCGACCGCTTGTTTCCAGCATCTGAACAAAAGTTTCAGCCCGAGACAGTTCGTCCTCTGCGGCACACATATCGAACTGGCTGCGTACACGTTGTTCAACTTCTGGACCAGCGTCATGCAGTTTAGCGAGCAGCTGGCAAAGACGGCCCAACATCATTGTCGTTTGTCTTCTTCTTCTTGATCAGCGAAGAAGGTGACAGAGATGAGAAAGAAGAATAGGGGAATCAACCTCGTCAAGACGGATCCAAGCAAGCAGTTCCACAAGTAAGCCATCTTCCCCAGTGAGAATGCCCCACAATAAACTTAAAAAGACGATTGGAAATTCCACGGCCTCACTACGAACGAATTTTCAGTTCCACGGCAAGAAGCAAAGAACTAATGAATTAATTACAGGATTGGAATTTCACTATTTTCTATATGCGTTATCTACTGATATCCTATCTGATGATAATCTCCTAAGATCTATGGAGGTTCCGCAGCCCGGCCAATGAGATCAAGACAAACACAACAATAGTGAGTCCGCAACCATCCACAAGACAGCCGACGACAGGTAACTACAATCGATCAATCAGCAACACATCAACAAACAAGTGTTAGTTGTTCTCCTCCGATGTCTTCTCGTAGATAGTTGTGTGACTTGACACATGCCCTGGCGCTTGGCACTACAGCATAGTGTTGTACCTCTCATCCGGCCACGCACATGCAAGGTGTTGTCCGCACCAATCTTTCTTTGGCCTGGCAGTATGCCGCGTGAGGACTGCCATGTGTCCTACTCCAACAAAGCCTCGTTGACAAGTCAGCAAGACAAGTGTCAAGTTAGCGAGACAAACGCCACTTCAGCGTCGATGGCCAACTAGGCTGTATCAACGATGTTGCACCAGAAATACGTAAGCGGCGAAGTACAGCTCAACCCGTATGTGCTCACTGGAATGTTGATGAATGTGCCGCATCGACCTGGATCTTCTGCTGCTTGGGAAATGCCACGTCATCCGATGTTCTTTGTCGTTGGAATGTGCCACGTCAGCACCTCAGCGCGCTGCCACTTCAATAGGCAACGGCCACGTCAGCAAGGTACACCTCCAAAGGCAGGTACTACGATATTGCTGGATAGCATGCCACGTCAGCAAGCCTCCGCCAGTGCCAATGTCGTCCACGTCAGCTGCTTCCCACCTTCCATGTCAGCTGCTTCCTGCCTTCCACGTCAGCATCTACAAGCCAGAAGGTTTGCGTCCACATCATCATCATCATCATCGCAGTCTTGGTCGCGTGAATCAAACCTAGCGCGCGAACCTGACCTCTGCGTGGAATGGAAACCAATGCGCGATTTCAAGGCAAGCGTGCGCGTTCTTCCGCGATCAGCAGATAGCGAGTTAAGGAAGATATCGCTCTGATACCAAATTGCAATGTACCTAGTCAGATGAGAAGCTCACAAAAGTCAAGATACAAGTCTATCACCGCATGACATCAATGTCTCCAAAATCGTTCATGAAACCGTACTCGTCACACATGTAGTCTCCAAATGTCTCAATGCTAGAGAAGAGAACGAGGAGAGGGGGAGATGAGACAGAGAGGAGGATGAGGAGAGTTCCCACAATGAAGCAGGACCCCACTTGATCCCTCTTCCTCCTCGGGCATTCCTCCCCATATCGCCACGTCAGCAGTACAGTTCTTCCCTGACCATCTCTGACATATACAACGAGCAGGTCGCAGCAGGGCACCCATCCTCCTGCCACGTCAGCAGTAGCTGAGGAGGATGGCACATATCTCCTCCTTGAAGACAATCAGCAAAGCACACGCGTCGTCGCAGGTACATCCAGGTAATCTTCTCCTTCTCCTTCATACCATTCTCACAGTCCAGATCCTCCTCCTCCTCGCCCTCACTCCAGTCAGTGCCGCAATCAATGTGTCTATGGCCACGTCAGCGTAATGCCCTCACGGCTGGCGCCCACGCACAGAAGATGGCACCAGCATAAGGCTTCCGCAGTCTCGCGCCGTTGCACTTGCATCAATCCAGCGTGAAGCAGAACGCACCCGACTGAATGCCCGGCAGCAGGGGATGGGTCAACTTGTAGAGTTGACTCGCGTTGACCACTGGTCGCCTGGGTGCTACCGCCCAGATCTCTCACAGCCAATGGCCTGGATGTCGTACAATTGCAGATTCCCACATGTCCCACTTGGAGCGGATTCTTCTGGATACCTGCAGACAACCAATGATGTGCATCCAATCTATGGCCAAGGCTGGCCAGCGGGTTGACTTTGACTTCGGGGGCTGGATTCCCAAGCTGGGGTTGACCGATGACTTTCCCAGGGTCAATTGTTGCACGTAGGGCCTCTGGAGGCCGGTTTCGACCTTGCCCTGGGTACCCCTTGGCTTCAGGCATTGGTCCAGGCGTTACCGGGACTTAGGGCGTGACTTTTGACCCTTGTAACAGGCCTTTGACCAAAAGTGACGACCTACACCCTCGACTAGTGCAGATTTGAGCTGAGTTATTGCAATAAAGCCAGATAAACACATAACCAGGAAGAACGTTTTCCACAGAGGTTGGCTGCTGCGGGGCAAAATCAGAAGGATAGATGATGGTTCATTGAGGTGGAAGAAATGGGAGGGGCCTATGATGAACGGCATCGGGCAACCTGGAAGACATACAATGTCAATCCCACATTGAAGACAGCGGAAAGTTTGATGGAGTATGTAGATCTTGCCTCCAGCTGATAGTCACTCCACTATGCAGCCATAGCGCAGCCCTTCTGTAGCTTTTGGTTAGCCCTCGTGGCACAGAGACAAACGGTTATCTGACAGGCAATCCTACCCCCTGGGAGCAATCAATGATGCTCAGGGTTCCTTCGGCCTAGACAGAAGGCAGCGTTGGGTGGGTCAACGTGCCGGTGGAAAGGAACCGTACCAACTCTCTCGAGCATCATGGACGAAGAGCCACAAACATAAGGACCTATTTAAGAAAGAAAAAAGAAAAAAAAGAGTATGGGATACCCCGTCTTCTGTCTGAAAAAAAGAAAAGGAACCTTGGAAACTGGAAGTTGGAGCAGTTCAAGGCAGACTAGGTTTGGCGAACTTTTGTGGAGTAAGACTGCGTCCATAATAAGGATGAGGGACTGCGTCCATAATAAGTTCATCCTTTACCCATTTACCCAGGGTGAGTAAAGGCTGGATCCAGTCCAGAGCTCAGACTTAGTTCAGCTCTTACCCAGAGTTAGTAAGAGCTGCATTCAGTCCAGAGTGCACACTGAGTTCCACATTTACCCACACCAAATATCTGCAGAAGGGTCCCCTTAATCAAAGCTCCAGGCCAATGCTGCACGGCTTTGTGAAAGCATTTCTTTACAGAATCTCAGATGAGCTAAAAAAAACACGTCATGAGGCCTCACAAATTATAATTCACTAAAAATTTACAACTTAGTAACTTGCACAATAATTGACAACTTATCTGCCTTATCCTTATTTACTCAGCTGGTTGTTTCAGTTTTGCAGAATTTTCAAAAATTGCTGTGTGTTAGAGTGCTTGGCACGGACCCTTCACCGAGGTTTGCACAGCCATGAAGCTTAAATGTTTTCAGACCTTTCAGTTCTGATAACCCTACAGGTAAATGCTGCAGCTCAGCCAACGACGACAGATCAAGCTCAGTTAGGCTCTGCAGCTGGGTGATAGAGGCAGGTAACTCCCTTAGCCCACAGGAGCGCAGACTGAGAAACAGAAGCCCTGACAGATTGCCAATATGTCCAGGTAGGTGACTTAGCTGCCTGCATCCACTGAGTTCCAGTTCCTGCAGAGTAGTCAGCTGTGTCATACTCTTTGGCAGTGCTCTCAACTTTTTGCAGTCCCGAAGATCTAACCTGGTGAGACTTTTGCGCCCCGAAATCCCTTTAGGCAGCCGAAGAAGGCTTGCGGATGATGACATGTCCAATGTCACAAGCCTTTTCAACCTTCCAATAGAAGCAGGCAACGACGACAGACCAGAACCAGCCAATGTAAGGAATCGGAGTTCGGATATGTTACCTATTTTAGCAGGTAAGCGAGCCAACTGCTTGGCGTTGAACACTACCAAACTGGTCAGATTGGTCATTTCTCCGGCTTCATCCATCAAAGCCCTTGGATTTGCACAGCCAGTGAGCTGCAGTGATGTCAGAGCCGCGAGTCTTGAGAGTCCTCTCGGCAGTTCGACGAGGTTTTGCTCATTTTGAGTGAAGCAAAAGAGATTTAGGGTTCCCAAACCACTCAACTGGGTGATGGAAGATGGCAGCTTCGTTATTCCAGAAAAGTCCAGGTCCAACAATCGCATTCTCGTAAGGTTTCCTATTTCTACAGGCAAAGATTTGAGCTCCTGACACCCATTAAGATTGAGTTCTTCCAGGTTTATTAATTGCACAATATTCTCTGGAAGAGCAATGAGACTCACACAGTCCTGAAGATGCAGGGATGTCAGTCTGCCCAGATTTGAAATACATGTTGGTAGCTGATGAAGATCAGTGGAGGAGGACAGATTGAGTTCAAATAAATTAGTCAGTTCAGTGATGGATGAGGGCAGCTCTCTCAAAGAGCACACAGTCAATCGCAAGCATTCAAGGTTCGCCAGATTTCTAATCCGGTCCAAGACGATAGGGGTGCAATGTTTTGCTTTCTCACACCCGCGTAAGTCCAGGGTTTCAAGCTTTGTCAGACGCATAATTCCCTCCGGAAAGGTACTCAGTTCCACACATCCATGAAGATCTAGCATCACCAGATCTTGTAGGTCTGAAACCTCTGAGGGCAAGTGCTGCAGCTTCACACAAGAGGACAGATCAAGCTCTGTCAAATTCTGCAGACTGCCGATCGATGAAGGTAACTCTGTAATGGATGAGAGACTCAGATCAATACACAGAAGACCGGTAAGGTTGCCGAGTCCTGGCGGTAGAGCTGCCAGGTTAGAGCAGCCGCTTGGCTTAAGTGCCACCAAACCAGTAAGCCTTGAAAGGCCATCTGTGAATGCTCAGAGTCCTCGACAGTGCTCGACATTTAAGTTGCACAACTTTGCAAGGTGTGAGATCCCAGAAGGCAACTCAGCAAGTTGAGAACAGTTGCTTACATCGAGGGAAGTCAAATTTAACAGTTTACTGATGGAATCAGGCAAATGTGTTAAGGACATCGATGCCAACTCAAGGGAATGGAGCTTGACCAATCTCCCAATCTCGGCAGGCAAACTTCGAAGCTGCTTGCAGAAACTGAGATTCACCACTTCTAGAAGGACCAGCTCTCCTATTTTGGCAGGCAAGCTATCCAAGCCCGAATGACAGAGGTCAAGTTTGCGCAGATTTGTAGATTCCCAAAGACCCTCTGGTATGTGACTAACACAACCGAGGGACCAGGAAAAGTCAAAGCAAGTCAGATGGAAAAGGTCCTGAACAGTCGACGGCAGTGTGCTTAATCTGGCAGAGGTGATGGCAAGGTGCATGAGCCTTTTAAGGTTCCCAATCTCATCTGGGATCAACTCAAGTTTAGACGATCGGATCTCCAACCAGGTTAGAGAGGAAAGACAGCCGATTGAGGAAGGAAGGGCCACCAGAGGTGAGCCATCGATGACTAGCTTAGCAAGCTTTGCCAAGTAACCGATCTCGTCGGGAACCCGCTGCAGCAATTGAAATCCATGCAATTCGACGGAGTGTAAACCTGTCAGTTGTCCAAGAATCGATGGGACTGCTCTATCCCTGACCTCACTGTTACAGTTGGCATCAGGCTCCGAGTCAATGGCGATGCAGAGTTCCTCTAGTTTTGGTGCGAGAAGTTTCGAAAGAACTCCCTCATCAGTCCTTTCAGAATCCTCGGTCGATTGCAAAATGGAACTTGCTATTTCTGAGCGAAAGTTCAGAGGAATGAAAGGCCATCGTTTGGGCCACTTTCTCGGTATTTTGCATCCATCTCGTTGTTCACACTGCTGTTCCTGTGTTAAGTAACTGACATTTGTTGTTCGCAAAACCCTCAGATTAGTCAATTTTTCAATATCTGCTGGGTCAATTGCCAGTGTTCCATCACTGCCATCTGCAACGTGGATGACAAGGACCTGCAGGTGCTGCAGTTCTCCAATGGAGGACGAGAAGAGTCTCGCCGCCTTAGAGTCTGAGCTGCAGTAGTTCCCATGAGCGAAAAGGTGTAACCACAACGCTTGAAGATTTGGAAACGATGATAGGAAGCCGGGGAAAACCAAGCACGACGATGGTACGTCCAACAAGACCATGATCCGCAGTTGGTGGCTCTTAGCAGCAACTTTCTTCAAAAACTGCTGGCAGAGTGAGAATTTTGAGGCTCCCTCATTGTTATCATTCACCATAGAGTGGAAACCCTCGGGCCAAGACCAAAAGAAGCTCTCAAGGCAAGGAAACATGGTTGGTAGGGAGGGTAAGGAGAGAATATGCCAGATCCGCATCGACTTGGATGTTATCCACATCAGCTTTTTCGAGTATGTGTAGTAACCTAAGTAGGGGATGGTTTGAACACTGTCCAGTTCATCACTGCTTATGAACCATCGTTCATGCTGCACAGGCCCAGCTTCACATTTTAGTGGTCCCACACAGTTGCTGGGCTGCCCCAAGATGACAGGCACAACCGTATCGGACTGCATCATATCTATCGCAGCCTGACGAATCAGGTCGTGCAAACACACACAACTGGATCCATGGGGTTCCACCAGGGACAATCTAATAAGTGTGTTCATCCTCTCCCTCGCAATTTCCACGCTTCTCACAGATGGATAGATGGACCATAATGTCTCCATCAAATTGCGCTCTATTTTGTGGTCTTCTGGAAAGCCTGCCAAGTCCAGAGACATGTCGCAAAGATCAGGTTTAACATCTGCTAGAGCCGTGATAGATTTCTGGATGACCTTCAACACATGCCTGTAGCTTTCGTCAGCCCCTGGATGACTTCGGTGGCTGGGGCTGGATGATCCCACCTGGAGGAGGAAGTTGAGCCAACTCCTCCAGAACTCGCGCTCTTGGCGCCTCGGGTACAAGTTTGAACCCACAACCCAAAGTGCTAAGGGCAATCCACGGCATCTTTCGCACACTTTCCTGGCCTCGTGCTCGAGCTCCGCAGGTGGGACCTCATCCCTGAAAGCACAATGACAAAATAATTTAAATGCCTCCCCCTCTGGTAAGGGTTCCACAAGGTGGGTCATTGCTGGCATTGTTACGGTATCCAAATTTCTGGTCGTGACGACAACGCTACAGCTTTGCGGAACCACGGTATCAATCCATTCAATTTGATCACACCTCCAAACATCGTCAATCACGATCAGAATTCTCTTACCTCTCATGTCTCCTTTCAACGCACATTCTCTCTCCACCTCGCTGTAAATGGAACTGTTATGCCATTCTTGAGCTGAACCATGTGCATGAGTCCTATACTTGCCCACTTTTTGCCTCACCACCTCCATCAGCTCCCCACCCAGTCTGTGCTCCCCACAAGATGCAAAAAACACACCATCAGAAAACTCCCTTGCCATCTCTTCGCTATCATGAATTTGGATTGCGAGTGTTGTTTTGCCGACACCTGCCATGCCATGGATGCACAGGATCTCGGGGCCACAGTGGGATGGTGGAGGATTTACTGCTGCAAGTTGACCTCGACCAATCAGCGCATACTCCAATGCCTTCACATCCCTACGAATGAATCCGTACAATGGATTGTCAGTGCAAATGGGTTTGAAGCTAAGCTTATCAGTGTGATTTGTCAAACTGGGTGTACTTTGTTGACTAGATGATCCTTCAAGTTCATTGGCGATTCCCACCATCCTATGGCTCCAGCTGCGGTGAAAGAGTAGTCTCTTGTTGAAGCTCAGTTCATCATGACCATTGATCTGACCAAACGAGTATGTTTTGCCAACTCCCAGTTTCGTACAGCTCAGACTACGGCGAAAGGGAAGCCTTGAGGCACCTGCATTTGCATACTCCGAACACAAATTGAATCCAACGGCATTTGAGTCGTCTTCGCTCACCGTCATTGCTCTGCCCATCCACAAGATCCTCTCATGTAGCTTGCCCACCATGCCATGAGTCTCCCTTGCGAACAAACGGTCTACAACAGTCCTCAAGCCTTCAAGTTGGTTCTGCAGATTGATGATCTCCTTGTCTGCATATCCGCGTCGTATGTACATCTGAACTGCCTGCCACCGTCCATGCCACTGACAAATTTGTTGAATATCATGTAGCTGTGCGTGCATTCGATGTACTCTGATGAACAGCACATGAATGTCAGCTGCTGTGTAAGGTAGCCTTCGAAGACCCATCAATGATCCCCTTGTTGCTTCAATCTCAAACTGAATTTCCGCAAGATGCTGTTCATGCAGGTACGCAGCTTTCGCAAACTCTATGCATGCATTCCCAAACACTAAAAAGTTTTGCAGGAGAAGACCTACAGCTCCACCCAGAAATGCATCAACAACGTTCGACGCCATAGTCATTGTGTGATGCCTGTTCAGCGAGAAGCCTGGATTCATTGCAAACACAAGGGAAAGGATGAGCACGAAGACAACTGGCATGGGGATGATATCACCCCATCACACTCCATAAAAAATGCAAGCTCTACAACGTCTACATGCATGTAATTCTCCCAATTCCAAATGGGTGACAAAGTCTACCATACGAGTATCCATACATTGTCCAATAGTGAAGGGCTCAGGCTTCAACACATCTTTGCAAATTCACTGTGAAAACAATGCTCGGAAACAGTTCATCCTCTGCAACATTGATCATGAGATCCTACACTGTTATGTTGCTGGCCAATTTCGAAGTACACATTCATGAGGCAGTACAATGCCGTCCAATTGCAAAAAGAAATGAATGAATGAATTAGAGAGGAGAGAGAGGGAAAGAAGAAGAAGAAGAAGCAGAAGAAGAAGAGAGAAAGAAGAAGAAGATGATGTACACCAGCACAGACCAATGATAACTCCCTTCTTCTTCGCCAACCACTCTCCTCCTCCTTATCTCCTCCCCTCTATTTCAAACAATAATAATAATGTTGAATGGCTGAACCAGAATCAATGTCCGAATCCCTCTTCTACTGCAGGTATTGCATGAGGTCCACCATAGCCATGGCCACCCTTCTTCCTCCCTCTTTCACAGCCGAGGCTATGCCTGACTCTGCCTCGAAGCTTCTTGGTGTAGCTCTAGCCCAAGTGGGGCCTCCCTGCTGCAGCGCCCACCAAGCTGATGAAGATGGCAACCACCATAGCCAGGCAAGTACCTCTGGTGCTCCCCCTTCCTAGTCCTTGCCTCCCTCCTCCTGCTGTCCTTGCTCCTTCCCCAGCAGCGCATCTCTGTGCTAGCGTCGCTCCAGCCAGCGCTCCAACCAGTGTGTCGCCAAACTTGCACACCGACAATGAGGAAGAGCTCTTTGCTCCTCCTGGAGATATAGCGGCCTGCTTGCCTCTTGGCGAGTGACTTCCTAGGCCGTGCGGCCTCCCAGCAACCGGTACCTCCTCCCTTTCGGAGGGAAACATCACTGCAGACTCTGATATTGCCCGTACAGGCCCTCGACTAAGACTGGTTGGACTGGTACCTGCCTAGACCTAGCCTGCAACTGCCGGGCCTCTAAAAATGCAAACTTTGTCTTCTTCTGCTTGGCCTCGAGTATCCGGCACATCTACCTCTACCTGGTGCGGTACCGGCCTACCTGCTACTTGAGTGTTTTTCCGCTGCTTCAAGTGTCGCGAGCCTCCTTCCCCGCCACTCGAGTGTTTTCCCCACTGCAAGGCCACAGGTAAGTACCGGCCCCTTTGGGCCGTCCACACGGACAAGTACCCTGGCGGGTCAGACACACACTCAAACCGACAAGCACTCAGACAGGCATGAAGACCAGCAAGCACGCACACACTCACACTTAGAAAACTCAGCAACAACCAGGAAAACTCAGCAAGGCGTACATTCCATTGACAAAGACTCAGAAATCAGCTGTGTGTCTCAGTCCGTGTTGGGAAGGTCATTGCAACACTCTGGTCTGAAAAATCGAATTGGCGGCCACCGTTAAATCAAATCGAAAAGGCATATGACCAAGTTAACTGGAAATTTCAGCAGCAATGTATGGAGAAGATGGGAGTGGGACCAAACTTTCGAAAATGGGTGAGAGTGCTTTACAACGATGCATATGGTCAAGTACAACTCAATGGCTTCCTTTCTCCGGCATATAAAATGAGTCGTTCAGTGGAAAAAAAGGTGCAAGGAAACTATAGCTTCTCAACTCACATCAGAGTCAGAAGCTTGGCAGAATCTCCTTCACCTACTACAAGATGAATATCAAGCTGATTGGAACGAAGTAGTGAAGATCATAAAACTAGATCCCACAAGGCAGCAGGAAGTTGTCGACAAGTTTAAAAAAGAAATACTGGGAGAAGGAAAGCTAGGAGACGTTAAAGGCAATATTCCAAGGTTACTCTGGAAAATTGCAGAGTCTCAACTAAGTGATCAACAGGAAGAGACAGAAAACCTGATGTCACTAGCTCAGGACCAATCACAGGTAGTAAATTTGGGATTGGTATAAAAGCAGCGACACTTTAAGACGGAACATGAATGAGAATAGGAAGAATTATCCCCCTGCTAGTTCAACTCATATTTACTTATAGACTATAAGTTGTTATAGCAAAGTAACAATAGAACGTAGGGTTTAGGCCCAACTTTAGGGTTTAGGATTTAGACAGAAAACAAACCAAGAGGTTCTACTTCAAGAAGTCATATATGTGGCCCGATAAACTCTGGTAAAACACACTTATCCGACAGTCTTAACGCTGGGAGGAGTACAACCGGGATTATAGAGAATGTTAATAGACACAGTACATGCTAACTTATGCATGGGTGAGGGGTGGTATATCCTTCCCAAGGGAAGTAATCAATGCCGCCCTCTCGGTCCTCCCAGCCATAATGGGGAGGAGCGTGTGTGCGTGATTTATGTATCTCTTTTCGACTTGCCAGGGCAAAGGAACCGGACTGTTGATCCCCAGAATGGCAGGAGCCAGAACCTCAAGGTTCTGTTTAAAAAAAAAATAATAAAAAAAATCGGCGGCCTCTCTCGATTTTTGGGTCGGCGCGCAGTGCCCGTGGCCGACATATGGGAAAGGTACTGGTGGTTTACGGTTAATATTAAACCACAAGTACATGGCCCCAGCCTTGCAGTCCGAAACTTGTCGCCACAAGAAAACGAGGCCAAAACGTCATTTGTTGGGCCCGCCGTTGATAAATTCGATCGGTGGCCCTATTTTCGTTTCGTGCCTCCCGAATTTGAGGTGTCAGACCCACGGCCCAGGTGCCCATGTACTGGTGATTTAAAACAGGAAAGGATCATTCGCGAATTACCCCTAAAAGTTGAGATATATGCCAAAATGCCCCTAAAAGATTGGGAAGAGCGGAATACCCCTCTGACCAGGGTTGCATTCCTGCCAACCGCTGACCCCGGCCGCCGACCGTTTTGCAGCAGGCGGGTAGGGCTGACCGGTCGGCGGTCTGCCGACCAGGCAGAAAACAGTCATCCAGTGTATGAGTTGGGGGTTGTACTGCGCTTGCCCTGTACAGTCCAACTCCGCTGAGAAACTTTTGGGGATGGGGGGGTTGGGGGGGGGGGGNGGTGAGTAATAGTAGTAATAGTACTGTAATACTAGTTATCTACTGTTTTTTAATAATCAGCAGGGTTGCATGCCTGCCGACCGCCGACCCCCAACCCGGACCCCCGACTGTATTGCAGCCGACCAGTAGGGCCGACCGGTCGGCGGTCTGCCGACCAGTCAAAAAACAACCATCCACTGATTGTTTTTCAAATCTGAGTTGGGGGCTGTACTGCGCTTGCTGAGTACAGCTCAAATCCGCTGAGAAACTTTTGGAGATGGGGGGGCGGTGTGGGGGGGGTGGGGTTGGGGGGGGGGGGGGGTATAGGGAGGTATAGGGGTGGGCTTGAGAGGGAAAGTTGACAAACAGCTTCGCTTCGTGCCTTTCCCGTCATGCAGCTCGCCCCATAAAACCTTAGCCTTGTTTGCGGGCTCGGGGGGATGAATGAGGGTGTTGGGGGGTGGTTTGCACAAGCGGTTATCGGGTAGCTGAAAATTCAGGAATGAAAATTCTGAAGTGAGAGTTTTGGGTAGTATGAAAATCCTGAATGGTCCTGAAGTGGTGAAAGGTCCGAAGACCCTGAAAACCACCTATTTAGGCAGGCTGCATCCTGAAGTGGTGAAGGGTGTCCTGAAGTGGTCAAGTGAGAGTTTTGGGCAGTCTGGAAATCCTGAATGGTCCTGAAGTGGTGAAAGGTCCAAAGACCATGAAAACCACCCTTCACCACTTGAGGATGCAGCCTGCCTAAATAGATGGTTTTCAGGGTCTTCGGAACTTTCACCACTTCATGACCATTCAGGATCTTCAGACCTGAATGGTCCTGAAGTGGTGAAAGGTACGAAGACCCTGAAAACCACCTGTTTAGGTAGGCTGCATCCTGAAGTGGTGAAGGGTGTCCTGAAGTGGTGATGAAAAATACGACTCTTGTTAACCTTCTCTCGTGGTTTGGGGGTGTTGGGTGGGTGTATGGGGGTATTGGGGGCGGGTATGGGGGGTGTTGGTGGGGTTATTAGGGGTTCTAGACCGCCGACAGCCCCCGACTGATAGGTGCTGACCAGTCAAAGGCCGCCGACCGTCAGGGTATGCAACCCTGCCTCTGACACAAAAAATGTTTTGCAAACTGCCCCTGGCATCAGTTGGACCTGCCATCTTTGCAAAATACCCCTACCGGGTACTGTCCATCTTTGCAAAATGTTCCGGTACTTGCCAACTTTTCCCAGGCCCTATTTATTTCCGTTTTACACCTACCGGCCCAGGTCATCTTTGTGTTTTGCCCCCTGGCCATTGGAAGCCGACACACACGAAAAGACAGCCGGAAGAGAACCTCCCATGCACTACATTTTGGGATGCACATGACTTGATGATGAGCAACCATAGTCTTCATACAGCCGCTTGTTCTCGTCACCCTAGTTTCCCACCCCTGATCAGCAACAACAAAGTGTTATAATGCTGCACATTCCTTATCATTTATTCCCACAAATTAAATCTACCGGCATATCCATCACTCGTTCCCCCCCCCCCCCCTCTCTCTCTCTCTCTCTCTCCCTCTCTCTCTCTCTCTCTCTCTCTCTCTCTCTCTCTCTCTCTCTCTCTCTCTCTCTCTCTCTCTCTCTCTCTCTCTCTCTCTCTCTCTCTCTCTCCGTGTTTGTGCCACCTGTTACCCCTTTCAAGTGTTCCACCCATCAAAAATGCCACGCGGTCCAAAGCGACGGCAACCACTCCACTCCAGTCGCTCCTGTGCCTCAAAATCGGTCAAATTGATCTTCACGTGCCATCATTCCAGCGCCAAGGCATCGAATGGCAAGATCCATTTGAGTCACGTCTGCCAAAATGCGTCAAATTATGTGTTTCTTCATGGTAGTGGGAAGCCATTTTTTCTTGTGAGTGCCACGTGGCTAGAACACCCCACGTGGTGTCCATTTACACCACGTGGCGTATTCTTATGAGAAGGGGATGGGGGGTAGCGGGAAGCCATTATTTCACCAAA